ATTTATTTAAAAATATTATATTATTTTATTTTTTAAAAGAATATTTTTTTTTAAAATAACTTTTCATTTTATTTATTTTTCTAAGTAACTTTGTTTTTTTTAAATAAGTTTTTATTTTATTTTATTTTTTTCTAAGTAACTTTTTTTAAAAAATAAGTTCTTATTTTATTGTTTTAAGTAACTTTTTTTGTAAAAAAAGTTTTTATTTTATTTTTTTAACATAAGTTTTTATTTCAATTTTTTTTAAATTTATATATATAATGCAAAGTTGCCATTTTACCCCTTTTAAAATTAATGAAAATGATAAAAATAAGTCGAGTGACCATGGTAAAATGTTATATAAAATTAGGTGGCCATAGTGAAACGTTATATGAAATTGAATGACCTTGATGAAATAAAATCAAATTAGGTTGCCATGATGACATTAAATATAAAATTGAGGGACTATGGTAAAACAAAATCAAGTTGGGTGACCATGGTGACACTAAGTATGAAGTTGGGAGGCCACCAGTCAATTTAACCATTTTATATTTTTATAAGTTTTCTTTTAAATATTAATTTGTTTTCATATCAAATGATACTTTCTAATTCTATCTCTCTGTCTAATTTTTATTTATTTATTTATTTTTAAATAAACCGTCACACGAGTAATAACAAAATTCGAAATGCAAGGGAAGAGGACTAGGTCAAAAGATCCCGGAAAAAGAATGACAAAAGCAAAAATCATAATTGACAATAATTAAGATACCAACCCACCTAATTGACTTCAATCATGAGACAGAGATGGCAACGGGTGGCGCATCTCCATTTTCGTTCCATTTTAAACCCATGTTTGGTTTAGAATAAAATTTCAAGCCAAATCAACAATTATTTTTAATTATATATCTCATACGGTCGTAATTTTTCAACCACACATTTCATTAGTTTTTATCAAAATTCGTTAAAAATTTAATTTTAATCTATACCAAATAGAGGTTTAATTAATGGAAAAACATAAAAATAAAGTAAAAAGGTTGAAGAAGGGTTCAGTTAATTTGAGGTAGGGACGGGGAAGTTAACCATTTAGTGAATTCCCCACCTAAATGGGGCAAGAAAATGCGGTATGAGTCGGGACAAGAAATTTTGTCATCTCTAAAGAGAAACCAGAACAAACATAAAGGAAATGGCTTGTAGTGCAAAACAAGACAACAACAAACAAGGTGGTCACTCAGCTTCTTTTTCCTTTTGCTCGCTCATTTCGCTTGTTTTGCCTCCTTGTCTTCCTTGATTGAACATAAAAAATGTTGGGTTTAGCAATAAGAAGTGTCACCTTCAACGCCTTAATTATTGTTGAAATTTGGTGATTTGAAAAATGTTGGGGCGTAAGTGGATGTATTTTCAATACTAGATGTAGTTTTGTGTGGACACGCTAGCCTCCTTATACTAAATTAAGTGAGTGGTGAACTTGGGTTTGATGAATTTGTAAGGGAACAAAACTCAAACTTCGCTAAACCTTAATTATAAAAATCTTGTTAACCTCTACAAGGATGACGTGGTCAACAGATATTGACTCTACTAACGTTTACGTAGATAGTATCCTGCATATATGGACAAATCGTTAGTATTACGTGACCTTCTATGATGGTGAGGAAAGCGACCGCGAGCACTCCAACGATCCAGTCAATCAATTTTTATAATTATATAAGAGTATGTGATGGTCGGAAGGCATGAGCTACGTTAATGTACATGCACCGAAAGTTTATAAGATAATAAAATGAGAGAACAATGTTACTTTGAGTATGTAAAATTGCATTATCTTCAAACGACATTGAGTCTTAGCTTTTATGGTAGAAGTAGAGGAGTGATTCCGTTGAATGAAAAGTGGCCTCGTCATGATAGCCAATTCGTCTTCTCCTAGGTGCCACTACATTGATCACAGATTGAGGGACATTTAATATTTGAAAGTAGTCACCCTATAGTGTAGGTCAAACCTTAAAATAGTAGATTGTCAAGTTGATTGTTAGGCATCCATTGTAGAGATGTCATATCAATCAATAATAGGAAGATCATTGTACGAAAGTTCTCTTGTAAGAGAAGAAGTGGGACACGCCTTCTCTTCTTAAGGGGCTAATTGCCTCGAATTCACTATGCAGCAGGTTATAGCATCTCACTTAGGCATATGGAACTTTATGTACTTATTTGTGCATCAAACTCCTTATGTGCTTAAAATTATGAAGAAATTTGGCATGCTTAATTACAAATCTGTTTCTGTGTTTCTTCAAAATCATTTATAAAACAATTTTCTTGTTAATGGAACTAATGAAGAAAAAAAGGATTTTATGAGTAAAGTGCCTTACTCTAACGTCATTAGTTTTGTTATGTACCTCATGGTTTGTACTAGGCTTGACTTGGCCTTTACTGTTAATATTTTAAATAGGTACATGTCTCATCCTGATCCTAAACATTGGGAAGCATTACAGTGGTTGTTTAGGTATTTGAAGATTACTTTTGATGAGGGGTTAGTCTATAAGTCTGTTGCTGAGGATGTGAAACTTAAAGGGTTTACGGATACCGACTTTAGTGGTGATAGAGAAAATAAAAAATCTACTTTTTTCTTATGTGTTTACTTTGTAGGAGTTGGAAGTCTTAACTCCAACATATTGTTACTCTGTCTATTATTAAGTCCGAGTATATTACTGCCACTAGGGCTGGGCAAAATGTCCG